GCGTTTTTCAAGAAAACGCGCCACTGAATCGCGTTTTCATAGAATCGCGTTTTCAAATCTGCGCCTTCAAAACGCGACAGGAAGTCGCGTTTTCTACCAAGTCGCGTTTTCCAGCCTGTTCAGAAACCAAAAACGCGCCTTCAAATACGCGACTTAAAGTCGCGTTTTATCACGTAGTCGCGTTTTCGATGCTGCAAGTTTTGTGAAAAAAACGCAACATTCACAAAACGCACCTTGAGGCGCGTTTTCTTGAGCCGCGTTTTCTGAGCACAATGATCCGACCTCGGATCCTTTTAAAAACGAAGGCTTGGACCACTTTTCAACTCTATTTTTCTTCATGTTGGCTTGTTTTTAGTAAGTTTTAGTTCTTCGATTAATGTTTGTGTGTTTTGTAGGTGGCAATGGCAAAAGTTCATGCAAATGATCTCAATTGCAAGGGTGTTTATATTGAAAAAAAAAAAAAATTGCATTCTTTCTTTCTTTCTTTCTTTCCTTCTTTTCTTCTTTCTTTCTTCTTTTCTTCCCCGCTGCTTGCCCTTTTTCCCCCTTTTCTTTTCTTCTTCATTCGCCGCCGCCAGAAGCTCCGCTGACCCACGGCAGCCGCGGCAACTGGCTCGCGCGCCGCTCTTCCCTGCCGCTCGTCGACGCTGCCCACGCCGGACGCCGCTGCCACAACCGCCGCCCACCCCAGCTCTTCTCGCCGCTGCCTCGGCTCTCCTCGCCAAGAGTGACCACCAGCTCATCTCACCTCCTTCACCCTTGTCATAGCCACCGCCTCCAAGATCCGCCTGAAGCCCCGAAAGCCGCGCACCACCAGATCTAGCTGCCGCAAACTCTTCTCTCTCACAGCCACCACCTTCATCGCACCACTGGCTTCGTATGCACGCGCCTGTCTCAATCTTTTTCTATTATTTTTTTTTATTTTTTTATTTTATTATTGCAGTATGTTTTTATTATTTTTAGTACAGTACGTTTTTGAAAATTTTGCGTGTTTGGACTACCTGACATTTCTATTCCTCCTTAGTTGGGTACTTCTGTGTTACTTTGCTTGTTTCTTTTTACTTTGCTTGATTTTTATTTATTTAGTAGATTGACTTGTGGTTAGTCGTGTGATTTACTTATTGTGTTTAAACTGCTGTACTTTGTATCTAACTGTGGGTAATTTGTTACAGTTGTTTGTTCAATTGGGAGGTGCCTTTAACACTTAAATTTACTTAAACTGTTGTCTATTGTGGTTTGGAGTGATATTTGGAGAAAATGGTGAGACTCAGATCAACCCCAGGGGCTAATCCACCGATGTCTTGACGATTCAGGGGAGTTTCGTTGCTCATCTTCTTATTCACTATATATTTGTTACATTGAGGGCAATGTATACTTTAAGTGTGGGGGAGATTTGGATTTGATTGGAGTTTCTTTAAATTATTGCTTTTCTTATTGTTGTCTTGATGAATAAATGTGGCAACTCACTCTTCTATTGCTGGTTATGATTTATCCTATGAATTTTGTTTAGATGGCAAGTAAACGTATGTTATCTTGGTGAATATCATGAATTTAATGACTTGGTGCAAATTGTGGTTAAATTGTTTAGGCAATATAAATATTTTACTAGCAATTGTTGTGTGGATTAGGCAATTGTTGATCTTAGTTCTCCATATTAGGAGATGACGTGGGCCATGATCTTTAATTATCTGGTTTTCTGGTGCTTTAATTGTGATTAATAAATGACCCTACTCCGCTAGTGTCGTCACCCAGTAACCGGGAGTCTTCACCACAAGTGTCGACTTTCGCGTCAAAAAGTGACTATATATATGAGTAGTTAGTCCTGAAGCTGTGAAGAGTTGAGTAACTGGGCTCTTTCATCTAAAAATGTCAGAGTTCACGTCAAAAGACTTGAATAGCTTGGGACTGAGCATTTATTGGAAAAAAAAAAAAAGAAGAGAGAAAAGAAAATAATAAGTAAGTTTATGATCATGTTGGCCTGCCGATCCTTGTTCTTCAATGTTGAGATTTTGATTTTCAGTTGACCCAATTGCTAACTTTTGCTAGTTTAATATTTTTATTTCTTAGACGAGTTAGCTATGAATTGGACGAGTCTATGATTTCAGGAGCTAACCGGGAGAAATATGTCTTGACACTTAGCCACTAAAACTTGATTTTGGGATAAGCGTAGCTTGGCAGTAAATGAAATGAGAGTTAGCCATTGTTGAATTTAGTTGTTCCCATGCTTGAGGACAAGCATGATTTAAGTGTGGGGGGAATTGATAGGGTGTTAATTGTTAGTAATTTTATTGTTAATTCTCCTCTTTATCCTTGCCAAATATTGCTTTAATTGTCAATATATATTTATATTTGGTATTTGGATATACTTTCAGAAAGTGGAGCAGAAACCTTCTTGAGAAGATTATTGTGAAACTCTATACAATTGGCCCATATGCATGGTGTAAACCAACGTCCATTTCTTTCTATAATGAAAAGGAATTGAATTGCATTTGGCTGGCCAACATCTCAATTAGGTGGGGACCGCGAAGACTTGACCATTGTGTAAAGACCATTTCCTTTCTTGATTTACGGTGCCTTTGTGGAAAGTAGCCTTTGCTTTTGTTTTCGGTGGAGTTGATTAGGTAGGGAAAGGAATGTTTTCTTTGGTGAGCGTAGAGTGAAGTTTGGAATTGGCTTGTTTTATGGGGAGAGCCGCACATTTGGCCAGAGTGAGTTTTTCTTCTTCTCTTCCGTCTAGGCAGAGAAGTTTTTAGTTTTGGGGTGAAGATTTCTTGCGTGTCTTGTTTTCTTCCGTCTCTTCCATGAGACTATTTTTATTGTATTAGACTACAGAGAATACAATTCTTATTTTTAATTATTAGTAAGAGATAAATGTCTTTGAGTTCAATTAAATTGCGTGGGAATTTTCTTATGAGGCGTGGCTAATTTTCTCATCTAGTCAAGGATCAACGCGAAGACGTAGTCCCAAATATCTGTAAGATCTAATTAATTTTACGTGTTCCTTAATTTGTTAATATTTGCATGTTTTCTATTTTAATTTCCATGGGATTATTTTGTTAATTGGATATCAAGGGCCCGATGTGCAATTTGACTTATTAATCTCCTGTCAAATTAATCAATTAAATCCGTAATTGTTTAGTCGGTTAATATTAGTGACAACTAGTATTTTCACATACTAGGGGGACATGCAATCTGATTTAAATAACCCTCGTAGCGTGTTATTAATTTGGGTTAGGCTTTTCTAGTTTTTAATGCAATTAGGAAATTAATTCCTACGGTCGTACCTAGGAGTATTTCCTGGTTAGGGGTAATCAACGGTCGTACCTTGATTATCAATAAATTAAGGAAAAGCTGGTCGTTAGAGTTTATCGGCGACTATAACTAACCTGTTAATAAAATTAAGTGAACCTTCTTTGCATCAATGATCGGATGAATGGACTGTGTCTGCGTAGTTGTATCCTTGGCTAAAATTTACTTATTATTTATTTGATTGCTATTTAAATTTGTATTAATTAATTAATTATTTTTAGTTAAATTGTTTAATTATTTTTAGTTTATTTCTGATAAAAATCCCCCGTGTCCCGAACTTGAAAAGAATCGAATTTTTCCCAGTCCCTGTGGATTCGACCCTACTCACTACTATACATAGAAAATTCATTTTTCTCGAGTAGGTATTTATTATTGCACAGGCTCGACACCTGTCATTGTTAATGTTGAGGTGGTCAATGTTGAGAGCTTTGTTTGTAGTGTAGTAAGTGGTATATTTCATAAGTTACGCATTTCATCATCCTGCACTTTGAAGTAGAAGGCTTGATGTAGCATATAAGCATCTTTCCATGTAGAATAGTCTGGAGATGCTGAGCTATATCCATGTTCTAGTGCGGACAAAGCGAGAAAGCAATACAAGCTTTTGAAAAAATAGAGGGAAACAATTGTTTTGTCAAAAAAAATTGATAATTACTTCTATTTGCAAACATTAGAGCTCAGTCATTGAAAACTGAGTTAGTCTTTCGACTTCAGAGGACATAGCAATAGGACACAGAGTTCCAGTTAAATCCGTGATCCAAATCGAAATACAAGCCTTGGAATTAATAAACAAATATACAAGTGATTGGAGGCTTAGACTGGTTAACATAAACACTGTACGCTATTTATAAGTACCTATGTTGGAGATCAACATTAGCTTGGCAGTTCTTGCATATAATTTTTCACTCATCCATACAGCTATTTGGGTGATTACAATTGGGACAAGCTGTATAGTAGGTTAGTTTCTGAGGTTTATAATCAAGCTCGATAACACCTCTAATCCATGTAGTCCATGGTTTCTATAAAATAAAAGCAATAGAAGAAGAAGATAGAAAATAGTAATTAGTAAATATAAAGAAGTTTAGATGGGTAGTTGTGTTGCAGCGTTAGAATTTTACGACGTGGAGCGGAGCGGCTATATCATGGATTTGACTGTGATCAGGGGGAGGAGGAAGGATGCTTGGATTAGTACAACTGTGTTCATCGACCATTTGTGCTAGTTGAAGTGCGTTGTGATGATACCTAAAATAAAAAAGGAAAAGTTAAGCTGGTGTAGAATAATTGTGGTGATGGTATGTGGAGTAATTGAAAAAACTCTTACAACTGATGCAGATCTATTGGCTGTTGTACAACTGGAGCTATCAAAAGAACGGTTGATAATGCTGAGTTGAAAGAGTAAGATGTGGGATTCAAGGGAAAAAAAAATAGAAAACATCGTCCATAAGAAGAATGGAAAAGTTTTTCAGCTAATAAATGTGCTGATGTATTTGGTTACAATTTTGTATTGTGACTTTCACTCTTATGGCAATGATGATTCGAAAATGGTTTCGAGCAGCTGCAATGGCAGGACCATCATTTTCTTCGAACTCATTCCACCAAGTTAAAAGCAATGGTCAATGTTAGCAATAAAGGAAGAATAAATGTTTTTGTGAGCAGCTCACTTGTGTATATAAAACATGGAACAACGAATTGGATTAGCAGGCAAGATGGTTACTCTTGATTGGCAATTACATAGCTCGAGCAATGGATGGCTTTCCCCGAAAATAAATAGTTTTGACAGGTAAAGCATGTAGTACAACTCCCATGACATCTAAGGCAGTCCAAAAAAAAAAAAAAAATGAAGCCTGTCATAGTCCAGTCCACATTCACCAATTGCCGCCAACTTACAAAAATTAAATTGTCGCATTAAGAAAATTGAGGAAGATATATGCATCGAAAGTAATCTTTTCTCTGTTCTCCTAAATGCAGCACTTTAGTCTACCTTTCCTTTCTCAACCCCCTCTTTAGCCAATGAGAGAAGAGAGTGAAAATGCTTTTCGGGATCCCCACTCTCGTCAAATTCCTGAATCCTTCACAAATGTATCCATGCATTCTCATTCTCACACATTCAATAACTTAAGGACAGCATCCAGAAGAGTATCAACATTCACTTTGCATCTTGTTGGGTGCGCATCAACCGTGGAAAAAAGTCTTGCTGCAAGGGAAAATGGATTGCCAAGAATATAGGGTATAAGGCACCAAGCGAGAGACAAATAGCAGAGAGAAGAAAAATGTAACAAAGGAAAATGTGTCTCGCTAACCATCGATTTCAGCCATAGCAAGAGCTTCATTTGATTCCTCTAGAGATCCACCAATAACCTAGGACAGAAAATGCAAGACAACTAATGAATCATTTAGCATGATTAGTCCCGATTACAGAAGGCAAATAACCAACCTTACCGACAAGAAATAAGCCTCTCAGTTCTGTTACTCCAATAAAATGGAATGAATTACAAATCAGCAAATTTTACAAGCCCATCCATCCTCTATGACATTAAAAACAACAGGTTGAACTTGTCCAAAAGTGGAACTTCAAAAGACCCAAAGTTCATATCCTCTCAATTTATTGAGCAATAATGCCATTGGATGGCTCAAAACTATATTTGGCTTTACAAGCCCAAGCTCAAATCTAGCATTCCAATAAGCTTACATGGAGCTTGCAGAAGTATTCTTATTATAATGACCATTACTGACCAGCATGGTTGGTGCCCTCGAAGCTCCATATATTCTGACAAACATGCGCAATATATTGAAATTATTCTCCAACACATCATCCTACCAAGTGAAAAACAATCTTTAATATTCAGGATAGTCAACATAAGAGGAAAAAAAACAACAGAAAATGATTTACCTCATAGTTAAATCTACAGCATCACTTTGTCATCCATTAATGATAACACATGGTACATGCTTCTTCCCATGCATCGAAAATGGAAAGTTATATCTTGCCAATAACAATACAATAAATTTCCTTTTATACACAAAACATTAAGGTTTATATGAAAACTACTCACATATCATCGGATAGCTCAATCAAGAACTCTGACATTGATATGAATTCCATATGCAATTCATTCACCTTCATAACAGCTTCAAAGAAAGCAAAACAAAGTGAAAAATACAATGTAAAACAGCAATAGTATTACTATTGTCACAAGTATTTGATTCATAATCCTTTCCATAACCTTTCAACTTTTGTTGAAAGGCGGAGGACTCATTCTACAACAGTTCCTAAAGAAACAATTCCAATCATAAACTTTATCATTCAAGGAGAGTCCCCCGTCATCTTTAGCATAAACAGCATTTATTCCAATCAAAAGATAGCAGAAAAAGATGCAATAAACAAGGTCAGTCACAGAAATTGAAAGCAAGATAAGCAAGTAATTGTAGGTATTTGAGTGACACGTATAACCATATCATCAAAGATAAAGCTGGGCTAAATTTCATAAACTGGTGAGCTAATAAACTAGCTTGAAATGGAAAGGACATTTATGTAAAATAATATTTTGGCCAGAAAAGAATTGGAAGTTCAAAGATAGTTTCCAAATGCCAATTAGGAATGTACCTCTTCACCCCGCAATTGATACAGCAAAAGATTAAGTACCCGATAATCAAAGGATTTCAGATGAACAGCCCTCATCATATCTCCCACGCAACTCTGCACAGTGCAGAGTATGTTATATAAATATAATCAATATGATGCTACTAGGCTATACTGATATCTTGCTGTAATTTATTAAGAGAAGAAAAATGTTCCAGGAATAAAGTAAGTGGCAAAATAGGATTCCCTGAGTTCAAAACTGGAATTCATCTTGTCCAGGTCAGGATACTCTTCCTAAATATTTGGCTTCTATAACAACTTTCAAGATAACCATTTGACTTTTATGCAGCCAAAATGGATTAAATATCATGCACTTTCATGGTAATATTTTAATAGCAGATTTTTTTTGGTTGGGGGTGGGGGGGGGGGGGGGGGTGTGGGGGTATTAGGTTTCAGGAACTGAGCTTGTAAATCAGAACAAACTGGAAACCTTATCAACAAAATTTGCTTTCAGTATCTATGTCTTTGGGGGCCAAAATAATGATGACAGGCTGCCAAAGACCAGAAAGTTTTTTGGTAGCTAGAATTATAAGCTCCATTTGATGTTTATCTGTACCATGAAGAAATAATAATTTGGCATGCAAGTATAGTTTTCTGCCCCTAGCTTCTCTTTTAGGATTATGGTTTTCAATTGATATATTCTTTCTACATCTCCCTTAAAGTAAAGGGCCTTTCCAAGGGTTATTTTAATAAATTAATAACTAAATTGAAGTTTCCCATCATAAACTTCTTACATTTTTCTTTGCTTTTTTAATAAATATATGTTCTTACATTCTCCCTGAAATACTCTTTTCATTCCATCAATCTTTTCCCACACATGGGGCCAGTTTCTGTACTTATGATGCTAAAAGTAGCAATAAATCTCCGTAAGTGCAGAACTTTATTACTCAAATTAAAGAAATCAGATACAATAGATTACGAATTTATGCATGTGTTAAACAGATATCTGCACTATGTAGAATCTGATGCCAATGGTTTAGTCAAACAAGGAAAGGAAAATGTCTCAAAAATTTATTTGTCAAAATATAGAATGCACTTGTGTTAATTTTACCTCAGTTCCACTCAAGGGATGACAACACAGTTTTCTTTCAAGACTCCAGGACCCTACTCCAAACAAACCAAAGCTCTTCTCTTATCCTGAAAAAATGGAGGGGGGCAATATAACCTTTACGATTCTAAAAGCCTTTAGAATACTGTTTAAGAACCACACGGAGGGAACATAAAGGAAACTACAAAAATCATAACAGAAATAGATATAGACCGCTCCGTGAGAAGGCCTTGATGCTCAAGTAGGATAATAAGTGGGAAACGGGTCAGCTTCTAACATCTTCAAGGATCTTATTGCCCTTCTTCCCCCTGTTTGGCAAACCTGTGCCAAAAGGACAATGAAAATCAAGCTTTAACCTAAATCCTGGAAATAGCTTGATACAAAGATCTTCTAAATTGTGGTTTTACCGCATAGGATTCTATTTCTCCAAGCTGAACTCCATAAGTTGGTGACTTACGTAGCTTCGCATTCAAAGTATCCAACTGTAAATTCAAAATCAAGATAATAGGAAGCATGAATGAAACATATTATGGAATTAAAATCCTTTATAACAGCATCAGTTATTTATCGAGAAAACTAATTGTAATCATGCAGCATGTTGACACTTGACATTAACTGAACCGAGCCAAAGAACTGCTATCATGCCCTTCCACTTTGTCTAGCCGAAAATCTGAGAAAAGAAAATCAAGCATCCTCCAAAACCTTGTAATCAGAGTTGGCATGATGTTTTAAGGTAGAAACTTCTCAGTCAAGCTTGACTTGCTGATTTACACAACACATGATTATACCTAAGTGCTTATTATCATCCCTAAAGAAGATTTCTTCACCATACTTTAAAGTTAATGCCAGCTCTCACTATGCTATTCAGGTACATAATTGACACATTACTTATAGTAGCAAAAAATTGGAACAATTACTGTCACAACTTTTCACATTTATAGGTACCAAGCAGTAGGCACATTCACATGTACTGGAAAAAGTAATGCAATTTTTTTCATGTCATAATGATTTGTTGGTATTACCGTATTCCATTCTGAAAAGGGGTAGTGGAATATGTAACGAAGCTTGACATTTATTTAGGACACATAAGGAAGTCACTGAGCATCTATTGTACAGGTAAATGGACCAACAATGTATGGATTTGCAAGTTAATGTACACACCAAAATGCAGAATATAAGCCACATATAGTATGGGAAGAGAGAGAGAGAGAGAGTTGCATTTTGTTTACCTGATAAACGTAACTCTCTGTAAATGAAAGTATGGGTAAGTATTTGAATATTAACTGCAGCTGGTGAACATCCATCTTATGAAACATAAAATATGACCTGCACCGTTCATCAGTACCGTCAGTCCAACAATGTTGAGGACAATCCCAAAGGAAAAGTCTTGCCATTGCGAGAACAAGGATATCCTCCTATAATATAAAGTAAAACCAGCCTGAATAAATTTTAAACCCAATTCTGAAGGCAAAAGAAAAGACTCCTACAGTACTGTAAAAAAAAGGACTTTTGCTAAAGATTGCATGGTTTGGTTATAACAAAGAACAATATTGCTCACAAAATCTGCCAATGTAGAATTTGCTCAAAGCATGGAGTCCAGCCCAATTGTAGCAGCTCCTTGGAAGTTGTCTCATGATCAATCAACATTTTGCTCATCATCACAATGTACTGGCACGGCATTTTCAATATGTTCATTACCTACAAATTAAAACAGAACAGTCAGCTAAATAATTTGCAGAAAGAATTAATAAACCTAAAAGATATACCCTATATGCCTTCCAAGAAGTAGTTTAGCTCAGGTGACATTTTGCAGAAGTTAATTTTTTTTATTTTAAAGTGACATTATGCAGAAGTTTCAGACAATTGATACAAACGAGCAAGTGACCTGATTTTTTCAGATTCATTTAAGTCATATATGGCCTAGACTCAGCTCCACTATGTAATGAAGCTGAGGGCACAATCCATAAGAAGATAGTCTACAAACAAAAAATGTTGAGAGTAGAACTGGAAAACTTTACCTTCTTCCCCAATACATTGCACTGTTTCGTCCAAAAATAAAGTTGAAATCTGTCAAAAGGATAATCACAAGCATAAGCAGAGTTCTTGCATTCCATTTACTCTAACCTTAGATCACGCAAAGAAGCTTAGGCAAGTTATCATACAACACAAAAAAGTAACCTTTATCATATACTCTGAAATCAGTTTGCACTTCATTTCCGTGTCAAGCACACTGCAAGGTTGAACCTTCACCAAATTGATTCAAGGTCACAAGGGGAGAACAATGAAACAAACAGGTGAAACAACTCGAGACTTTTTAATGCATGGAAAATAAGAGAAAATGACATGCAAGCTTTAATGAGAGAAATTGTGGTTAATATTATCTGGTTCATTTGGACTTGGTTAACAGCAAAGATTTCACATTGCTCAGGAAATAACTTTTATAGCCTCATAACCACTCATTTCGGCAGATTTACCACATCCAGTACAATATGACTCACAAGACATCATACAACAACTCATATAGTGCATGTAAGAGACATATCCTTTGCAACGAGCTAATGGGGTGCAAACTTATCCTTTGCAATGAGCTAATAATAATAGCAACCAGAAAAATAGTCGCACGAGACATATCCGTATGAAAAAGACCAAAGTTTTGTTCAGGGATATATACTTACAATAATTCGATCAACACTGGCGCTCCAAGTCCTGCTGAGTACTGCAGCAATATCTGGCACATGGTATTTCTTGCCGTTGTATATTCATCTGAACATACCATCTGTAATTGAGATTCATTTATGCATTAAAAGTAGATTTACTCAAAAAACTATGTTCCACAAAAAGTGTTTTAGAAAGATTTCAGATTTGACATACCAGTGAGATTGACTGCTATATCTGTTCAAGTTAAAACCCCACAAACACTATATCATTAAACATGATTAAAATGATTCGGTGTCTTATTCAAGACAAATACAAAAAAGGGTTAATTGCCAATCATCCGGATAGTCGGCATTAGTGAAACTTGGAGTCTTTTTGGGTGTCTGTCTGCCTGAGAGTCTGATTGAGATGAACTGGAAGTCTGGAACAGCAAATAAAATTTAATAGAGAATAAAAGAAAATTTAATCAAGGGGCAGGAACAGCATACACAAAATTAAAATGGAGAAAGCAGTGGACTTGAGAGACGAACAAAAAACAGAGAGATGCAGAGAAGAATATTGACTTGTGTTGAAGAAAAGAGGAGAGGGACAAAGAGCAGAGGAAGAAGATTGATTGATTGAGAAAAGGAAAAGGGGAAACAAAGGGGAGAGGAGTACGTCTGCACTCTGGAGATTGGAGTGGGTAAGAGTTGGTGGAGCAGTTTCTGATTTCCAGTGAAGAGTCTGAAGACCTCGACGCCAATGCAGAACCAAATGGAAGGAAAGTTGAAAAAAAAAAAAAGTCACGTGCTCAGAACACGCAGGACGACAACGTTACAGCCCATCACGAACTGACACGTCAGCAGAACCACCCACCTTTGTAGAGTTTCTAAGCAATTAGTCTACATATGGTTAATTAATAAATATGGTTAATAAGGCAAGCCCATAGTCCATAGAGGGCTTACAATTGCAACTCAATATCCAACTTTCCTCCATCTGCAAAGTGTTTGTACTCTGAGTATGGAGAAATTGGAGATTAATCGTTCTGACTTTGGGAAAGATTTCCTCTTTGGAACTGCAACATCTGCTTATCAGGTTACTACTATAACTTTCTTAAATTTCAGCCTGCAACTTGCGTTGACTTTTGTGCGACAATTTTTTTGTTCTTATTTTTTTGTTGGGTATACATCAATCATCATCAATATAGTTTGATTTGTACGTGCATTTGTTGTATCTACGAACATCTTGATAATGTTGTGTTTTGTTTAATGTGTTCGATAGGTTGAAGGTGCTACGAAGGAAGGCGGTAGAGGCCCTAGCATATGGGACGAAATGTGCAGAAAGAAACCAGGTTTTTCTTCCTCGTTATTTTTTTTTCCCGTTTATTTGTGTGAACAATAATTGCATAGGTGCTTGTATGCTAAGAGAAACAGCTAAATTTCAGACAAGGTTAGAAACTATGACAATGGAGATGTAGCAGCGGATTCATACCATCTGTATAAGGTACTTCTTGGTAATTAAGAATATTTTAGTTGGTGTTTCGTATAACATCCTTTAGACTTGTCTTCTTTTCTAAATTGGCCTATGGAAAATCAAGATTAACTTTTGCTACTCTTTCCACTAATTTACTCTCCAGGAAGACGTGCAATTGTTGAAGCAACTTGGTTTTGACTACTACAGATTTTCAATTTCATGGACTAGAATACTGCCAGGTTGTAAGATTATCAAATTACCAAATTCATGAGGCATTGAAAAAATTTTCAATTTTTCAAAAGCAATAATGTAACCTTTCATATTAAATACGCAAAACATGTAGTGTATAATTCAACTTAAAATTAATACTGATCTTGTTTTTTCTTTTAATTTTTCAAAATTTTGATCGTTAGGAGGAAGATTGAATGCCGGAGTGAACAAAGAAGGGATCCAGTACTACAACAACCTCATTAATGAACTCTTGGCTAATGGTAAGACTTTGATTACAGTTTTCATTAATCTCTAAAATCATATAATTGATTGGCTTGTCAAAGTTCACTAACATTTCATTCCATATACTATTGAATCTGTTCAGGCATTCAGCCTTTTGTTACCCTTTTGCACTTTGACGTGCCTCAGGCTCTAGAAGATGAGTACGGAAGTTTCCTAGATGAAAAAATAGTGTAAGTGATTCAGAAACTTTTCTTATTGATAGTTGAATGATAGTATCTCTGTATTCATTGCATGACAAAAAATGAGGGCATTGATAAACAAGTGTCGAATGCCCACAACTTGAGAAATTCATATTCCTTAAATCTTAATACCATTTTTTAACTTTATTATAGTTTTTCTTTTCATAAAAAGCATGATCGTCTCCAATAATAGCAAACAATAGAATACCCCACATGGTGCAAAAGATTTCACATCCAGATGCTCACATCTCCTCTCGGTGCAAGTAAACTAACATAGATAGCTTAAAGACAACACCGCCACTGTACTACAACTTTAAAGACAATAAACGAATATACAACATGGAATGGTGTATAGCAGTTTAACTAATTGACTTTCTATAAGAACATTTAAATGTGTATATCACCATGTGGAGGTAGGACTAAAACCGTCTCACAGCTTTATTAGCATGATTATTTTTTGGGGCGCGTTATTTCTTTTGGAAAATATTGTAGTGTAGTACTTCTTTTGGTGAGTATAACTATAAGATAAAAACTTGTTCGAATTTTTGGAAACCAAAATTGCAAAATAAGCCCATTATGCCAAAAATTTTAAAATTAGAGAACTAGAGTCTAATATACGGTTCTTTAGCTATGTGGGCATATTTACTATCTCTATATTTAACTTTGCCCTTATTGTTCTTGACTACAACGAGGTACAAAAGGGTTATTGCTAATAGTAGAAACATACATGTACCTATATTTACAAATTCGTAAACCAAATTAAGCGAGACATATAGTACATTTATGGAACAACTTTTTCAGGGCCGATTTTGCTGCTTTTGCAAGACTATGCTTTTGGCATTTTGGAGATCGAGTGAAAAATTGGATCACAATCAATGAGCCTTGGACTGTATCATGTTTTGGCTATGCAGCTGGGACATTTCCTCCCAATCGAGGTTCAAGTTCAGCGGATCATGGGTCCCTCAGCATTGTTCAGCATAGATGTGATGTTATGCATCCGCAAATTTGCCAAAATGGAGATCCAGGGACAGAGCCGTACACTGTAACACGCAACATGCTTCTTGCTCATGCTGAAGCTGTTCGAATATACAGACAAAAGTTTCAGGTGGTATCCACACACACACACTTACACTGACACAAAAAAAAAAAGAGCATATTGAAATGTCCCTTAGCAAATTCATTTTACAGATAAAGAATCATATATGTGTGTGTATGAGAGACATAACTATACTTTTCGCTCCTAGTTTCTAACACTTTGCGTTGCAAAAGGATTAAATCACGTCTCAGTAGATTTCTTCTTCTCCCTTTCGTCCTAGTATGCTTCCTTACAATTTGCAGTACTAGCCTCAACTAGGACAAATATCATAGTTTTGGGAAGGTTATTATAGTCATGTGATAGCTATGAAGGAAGGTCAGTGTAATATTGAAAATTATACGGGCATTAAGTAAAATTGTCTGAAACGGGGAGGGGAGGTTTCTGAAAATTTTTTGTTTAAATTTCTTTAAATTGAAAATAATTACTAAAGCTTTTCAAGTATATATGTTGATGTTATCTTACTTATGTCGAGCTTTTAGAGTGCTCAAGGAGGCCAAATTGGAATAACCCTTAACACCACTTGGTTTGAACCATACAATGCTGAATCAGCAGATGATGCAAAGGCAGCTGGCCGAGCCCTTGATTTCACGTTTGGCTGGTAAGTAATTGCCCTCTTGAACCTTGGAAATTCAAGCTTTGGTGCTTATTATAAATTTTATTACCTTTTTCAGGTTTCTAATCTTAGTCATTGAGCATCTTTTTCCAGGTTTATGGATCCAGTAACATATGGTCAGTATCCCAAGTCAATGACTGATCGTGTACCAGAAAACCGTCTTAAACGTTTCTCGGATGATGAATCAGCCAAATTAAAAGGATCATATGATTTTCTGGGGCTCAATTATTATACTGCTAATTATGCATATAATGATCCTACTGTTTATCCAGAGCCTAGTTACTTAACAGATTCGGGTGCCAAGACTACGGGTGAGCTCATCCGAAATATTTTTCAATAGCTAATTGTTTCATTTTTGTTACTGTAATATTATGATTTTATTACAATCTATGCCTACTTATTTCCCTCATTCAACATCTTGTAGCGACCGGTCCTGACGGCAAACCCATTGGTGAACGTGTAAGTGTTTTTTGCATTTCTGCATAAAATTATCGATCACATTTTCCTAAGAAAAATTTAAGTAGGGATTGATTGTACGTCCATTCAAATGAATTGAATACCATCAGTCCTCCCCTCAAAATGAACACCATTGGTTTTCCAGTTTTGTTTCGAAAACCAAACCAGTCATCAATCTTTTAGTCACGCCCGGAGTTTAAAATTCAAGAACTGTCGAAATCTTAGTGTCAGTGACTGTAAAATACTATTATTATTTCAATACTTTAGCATCTTAACTTCGTTAGACCCATAGTGGTGCAATTTGAATGTTTATTTTATACAAGGAGGTAAATCAACAATAGTTTCATGTTTGAAGTTTCAAAGTAAAGCTTGATTGGTGGTATCAGTCTTGTCAATCTAAAAGGTTTGATATTAATTTCAAATAGATAGATGTTGAAAAATTTCTCAACAATTGCTTAATGTCTTCCTTCTGTGATTCTCAGACATCTTCTGGTTGGATATACATTTATCCAGAGGGACTTTTCAAGCTCTTGTGTCTCATCAAGACGCGTTACAATAATCCAGCAATTTACATCACTGAAAATGGTAATTTACATTTTACGGCCTGGAATATTATTTACTTCATAAAACTAGTTTCTTGATATATCACTTTTTCTTGGCATTTCAGGTGTCGCTGATGCTGGTGCTCTAGATGGTACGATTTACCTTTCTCTATCCGATGATATTAGGATCAGGTATCACCGCGATCACCTAAAGGCACTAAAACGGGCAATCGACCAGTAAGTCCTTGCTTAATTGCCTTCATTTTTACTAAATGTGTATTAATATTAATCTTAGAATTAACTTTATCCCAGCTTTAAAATCCTCTATGTTGTCATATGTAACACATTTTATGTAGGTATTCTGTCAGCGTGAAAGGTTATACCGCGTGGTCATTACTTGACAATTTTGAGTGGGCAGTGGGATATAAAGACCGTTTTGGCATTTGTTATGTGGACTTCAATGATGCAAATTTGGCAAGATACCCAAAGGACTCAGCCATATGGTTTAAGAACTTCCTCAAACCTAGACCTGTAAAGGCACTTTCGACATCTGACAATGCGCAGATGCCAGCTTCTGCAATGGAACTTCCTGGTTATGAGACCCCTGCTAAGAGGGCTCGTGAACGTTAGTAGTCCTTTTTAATTTATGCCTGCTGATTAAAGTCAAGTGGCTTGGCTTTGCACCACAGTTTCTGTTGTAACTAGTCATGGAAAAAATTAGGTTTAGCACGTACGAGACCTTTGTGTTGTTTGAAACCTGGTGAATGCTTTGCACCAGAGTTTCTGTTGTGAGTCGTGAAATAATGTTTAGCCTTTTCAGGCTGGATTGTCAAGTCTTCCCTGCGTTTAGTCTCTCATATTTGCTGTCAATGCTAATCGCGATGTAAG